CCGGGCTCAGGCTGCCCGTGCGGCTGCAAGCTGGCTCCTTCAGCTCTCATTTGCAGCTCATTAATGATTTATCAAGTAGCCAGGACTAGCACATGGCCCGAAGCACCGTCAGGGGAGGCAAGCAGAGGCGAACAGACCCTTTCCCATTTCTCAGCCTAGTTTTGCCCCACGGTGACATTCCTGTAGCTGGGGCTTGCCCAGGCGGAGCATCGTCGCGCACTGTCACATGTGCAGTGAATTACACCAGCTTCAGCTCCCTGACTCTTACCAGCCCCACCAGCCCCACTGCAGCAGCGGGCAGGTGAGCACCACAGTTCGTCGGTGCCAGCCCTCCTGCCACCAGCAGCAGGCAGGACACCAGCCCTGGAGCGTGCCGGCTCCTCTGGCCCTTTAGGAATGACATTTTGCCCCTTGCTTTCCTGCCAGGAACCTTTCGAAACCAGACCTTGCTCGGAAGCTTCCCAGCAAAATTTGGTCCTATAAAGTGTTTTTTTTCTCTTTCCCACCCCACTACCAGGAGGAAGTTTCAACTGATGTTATCTTCTGATGGCTCAGAAGGAGAAAGGGCTCCCAGGCCCCCCCAGCCCTCTTGGTCCTGAGCGGGATCCCACAATGGGATGCTGGCATGACACTGGAGGCACCCATCGCCCGGTGCTAAACCTCCCAAAACACCAGGCTGTGACATGCTGGCCTCGCTGTGCTGTGCCGGCAGTGCCTGGGGCCCAGCAGTAAGGGCCATGGGCAGGATGGCAGTGCGGGATGTGGGAGCCGGCATCGCGGGTACCCAAGCGCCGAGCCTGTTGCTATGGCAATGGGAGCTGGAGATGCAGAAAGCGGCACATCCTTTGGAGGAGGCAGGGACGGGCAGCACCCAGCAGCACTCGACCCACCTGCAGGTGTGCGGCCCCATCCCTGCCACACCGGCCCTGGGAGGAAGGCGGTCCTTCCCGCAGCACCCAGGACATGCAACTAAGCGCTCCCTGGGGTGACTGACCCCAAATCTGAGCAGGACATGGGTGCAGTGAGCTGCAGAGAGGGGGGATGCTCCTTCCTGCCTCCATCCCTCAGGGCTGAGCTGCCTCTGAGCCTGCCCGAGTGATGCCCACAGGATGGCTGCTCTCACCTCACGCAACATGCAGGCACCCTCCTGCCGGGAAAGCCCACGCCAGGCAAGAGCACCCATCCCTGTCCCGCTCAGGGTGCACCCACTCCCAAAAGAGAAGCAGAGCACCCATGGGGCACCCTGCCCTGCACCACAGGCCGGGCGAGGCTTCCCAGCCCATGCTTGGCTCATTCCCAACAGCCTCCCTGGCAAATGTGCCCTGCCAGCACCTCCATGTCCCTGTGCCATGCAATGCCAACTCCGCTGTGCCACTGAGCCCAGTTGAGGGGGACAAGGGCTGTCCTGGCAGCCACTGGTGTGGCAGCAGGCTTGGTGCCGCGGGCCAGCAGAGGCAGGGCTGGCCTGCGGGCGGGTGGGAAGGCTGCCAGCACCAGCGGCGTGATGCCAGGATTAGCCGGGAAGGGGACCCAAGCAGGATGATATATCGGGATTTTACTGCTGCCTCTGTGAGCGCTCGGCTAATCTGCGCTCATAAAATTAGTTCCCGTTGGTTTAGCGGGGACCCATCCTGCCAGGGTTGAGCACTGGCACCCTCCCCCTGCCCCAGGCTGGCTCGGGGGGGCTCAGTGCACCTGGGTTACCCCACAAGGGAGGCTGGCACCCAGCCCCACATCAGGGCCAGCACCTGTGCCCCACAGGTGAGGGCACCCCCACCATGGCAGGGGCACGCAGGCAAGGGGTGAGTGAAGGGGTGAGTGCTCTCTCCCTAGGGTGCTGGGGAGGGAGGCTGGGTGCTGTGGTGGCACCTGCACACAGCCAGCCCCCCCCCTTCCCCAAAGCATCTAATTTGGGAGCAGAAGCAACAGAGGGGGTAAGACAATAGCAGAGAAGTGGGTGGCCGGGGGCGGACGGCACAGAGGGATGACGCAGCC